TATTTTATTTATTTTTTTAAGGCCCTTTAAACCCTTCCCACACTCTTGCAATAAAATAAAATTCAAAACAATGTTTCTAAACTCTCAAACAGAGCACAGAATGTCATGATTTCAGCTCACTGCCTCGGCTGCTCTCTCGGCCACGCCCACTTCTCCACTCTGCACGAAGATCAGCTGCAGGAGGAAGCTTCTCCCACAGCTGTGGGCTGCACACAGGTGCTACACAATTTTAAATACTGTAATTTATTTTAAATAAAAAAATCCATGCCAATCATGTGGCTCATCCATCAATCAGCCATGTCCAATCTTACTTTGAAAAACCACAATAGAGCGAGTCCGCAAAAAACTAACCGCGAAGAAGCGAGGGACTACTGTATATATATATACCATATTTTTTGGTATAAAAGTCATGTTTTTTTTTCATAATTTACATGCCCTACGACTTATAGGTCGAAGTGACGTATTTATGGATTTGTTCCCACATTTATAAACCATGTTTGGCTGAGAAATTACCGTTTTTATTCATTCTGACTGAAAATATTGAACTCTTCCATTTTCAGCTGCTAGACGGCACTTGAGTAGTATGGCATGCTGTTGTGTCATGTAATAGGTAAAAGTTTCTATTAATGAGACAGTCGGCTTGCCATAGCCTGACACTGTCATCTGCCTGGAGCAACCATCAAATCAGCTTAATTTTGCTGCGCCACCCTGGCGAAATGCAGCTAATTTGACCGTTAAAGTGCATTTATTAAGTAAAAGTTCAACTGAGACACACCTATAATTTCGAGCAAACAAATAACTGTTTTAGGTGCTTATCATGTTAAATTTCGAAGAAATGCACAGCGAAAAGCCCTCTGCGCGTTAATGTTTCCGCGTATCGGCTGTTGAAAATGCAGCTGATTTTACCGTCAAAGTGCATTTATTATGGAAAAGTTCAACGAGATTCACCTTTGCCATAATGTCGAGCAAACAAATAATTGTTTTTAAGTGTTAATTTTGTTAAATTCTTGTTAAAGTCCTCCTGTCCACGCTCTCGAGGCTGCCATTTGGCAGCCAATCGATTTTTGGCACACTGGCCCACATTTCCAGGTTGTCAGCGGTGACGCGTAACAAATGCGACGCGTCAGCGGTGATGCATAATAGATGTGAGGTACACAACGAAGCGACTTATTTATGGATTTTTCCAATTTGTTAGACATATTTGGACTGATGTGACTTATAGGACGGTGCGACGTGTATGGCAGAAAACATGGTATATACAGTATATATATATATATA